ACTGTGACAGCAGTGTTTCTCCTCTTATTATCAAAAGAGGGCGGGGCGCACCCCACTCCCCTCTATGACGTTCATGACATGTAATAAGTTAATAAAAGACTGTACATGTCCACACATTACAAACACACTGAGGCACTAAGGCCATTATATCAACCCAACCCCAGCCGTGTTCCTGACCTCAGCCATCATCATCCCAACTACAGGTAACTGGTAATATATTTGTGCATGTGACTTGAGATATTCTAATTAATGTATTCATTTTTTTATATTAAGCCAGGCCAGAATGGGCCATTTTCATTCTGCGTTCAACTGTGGAAGCCAACTTAGGAAAAAGTCACAAATTACTTTGCTTTCAAAACAAGTAGTTACTTAAAGCTTCTGACAAGAAATGAACATTTGAGCAGCCAATTAAGTTCCCCAGACAAATGCATCACACTAAGACCATGCGGTTAACTTCTAACATGTTCTTGTTGCTCTAACATGCAATAATTTTGATAGCTGGAACCTGCAGAAAATATATTTTCTTAACTTATTTTTCTGACAAACTGCAGTGCGCCGTCAACTGAGCACACAGAGGGAGGAAAAATGTTGCAACAATTGCTGTTAGTTCGTTTAGAAACCTTATCCAGCCATCTTCATTGTTGTGTTTGGCATTGCTGTGCTTTTGTACGTTTTATGCGACACATGTGTCATGATATTGTGTTTTGGTGCAGTCAGTGTATTTAGCATGTTTGGCTTTTCCGTGTTTCAGTGAATTTTGCGCGACCGTTTTTAGTGAAATTGGTTACACTGTGATGAGAGTTTTCAGTGTGTTTGGTGCAACCATGTGCATTGTTGGTTGTTATTGATGGGACCATGTGCAGTGGTTTTTGTGCAACCATGTGCAATTTTGTGTGATCATGTGCTGTAATTTTGTGTGGCCAACTGTAATTTTTACAGGATGTTCGGTGCGACTATGTGCAGTATTGTCTTTGCATTTTGTGCGGCCCTGTGCAACACAGTTGCAGATGGTGTTCATTTGCAGTGTAACTTGTCTCTTTATAGTGATTGAGCACATGCAGAACATTAAGCTCTCCATCAAGACAAAAATGCAAGTCGTGATTGTTTGAGATTTGCATTCAGTGCTGTCTCTTTTGTCGTCAGGCACTTTGACAAGGAGTAACCGTGATCTCTAGACGACTGTACTCTTCCCCCAGTACTCCAGGGCAGGGTAGGGGCTGGTGCAGCAGCTAGCGGCTAGCGTTACTTCCAGTAGCAAATAAAATGGTGCAAGTCCACTGAGGACACCGGGGATGTTGTCTACTTTAAATTCTCAAGCTGTCACAATTACACCGGAACACATCAACACCACCTCAGTATGTTAGAAACCACCCATTCATTTATTTCCATCCCTCCCTTTTCTTTCGCCAGCATCCTTTCCCAGTCTACGGGCCGGACTTTTAACCGACAGCAGCAACAGAACCGCTGCTAGAACCCGCTCCAGTTGCACTGATAGATCCATTCACAACCCACTGACC